TTCTGTTCTACCTCATCTCCTGCTAGTACTTCTCCAACCTCCCCCTGCATTCTAGGTACACTTTTTCTCTCTCTCAGTCCTTAAAGATATCATTGTATTCTCATCTGCCTTGCATTGTTTATGACAAGAAGTCTGTGTTGATTCTTGATACCCCTGTATGTGTGCCTTTTTAAAGATTTTTCTCTTTCACACTGGTTTTTAGCAACTTGAATATAAAGTGCCTTGATTTTCTTTGTTTATCCTGCTTGGGGTTTATTGAGCTACGTGGATCTTTTAGTTTTTATCAGATTTGGCGATTTTTCGGCAATTATTTAAAAAGATATTTTTCTGCCCCCACCTCTCTCTTCTCGTTTCCTCAGTACAGTGTGTTAAACTGGTTGATGCTGTCGCTCAGGTCCCTAGGGTCCTATTTATTCTCCGCCCCACACCCCCCGTACTTTAGATAGATGGCTTCCATTTCCGTCTTCAGATTTGCTGATTCTTCTATAGTGTCTGATCTGCTGTAAAGCCTGGCCAGTGAAATCTTCACTATAAATATTGTATTTTTCATTCTCTAGCAATTCCATGTGGTTCTTTTCATACCTTCCATCTCTCTCCTTGTTGTGTTCATACTTTACTTTAAATCCTTCAGTGTATTTATAATACCTGTTTTAAATTCCTTACCTGCCAATTCCATCATGTCTGGGTCTGTTTTTATTTTCCTGTTAGTTGTGAGTTGTAAGCGGTGGCATTTTCAGATGTCTAGTGTTTTTTGGAAGGATGCCATATATTTAGAATGGCACAGTGCTGGGTGGATTTTATGATCTTCCACTAAAAGAATGGTGATGTTTGTTTTGGCAGGCAGTTAAATTACTTGTGGATCAGACTTACTGGGCAGGTCTAGGGCTACTTTAGCCTTTAATAAGGCTAAAATATGGCATTCTGGGGGGTCTGCTGAATGCCCCAGGTGCTTGGCATGGTTTTTCTCCTCAAACTGGGTAAAATTCAGGTATCTTATTCTGTCTTTGGTGAATGCTAGGGCTTGTTCAGCTTATGATTTCCTGGTAGTTCTTTGCCTGACCTCAGTTTTTTCAGTGAATGTGCATGTAAGTACCTTGTCTAAGACTCTGCGATACAACTAAGCAGATGTCTGCAGGTCTCTCTCTGTGTAGAACCCTCGTCCCTGGTCCTCTGCCTGTACAAAGTCCAGCTGCCTTAGCCTTGTCAAACTCCCTTCCTACCTCCTCAATTTAGCAAGGCTGCTGTTCTGCTTGGGATCCTCCCCAGCCCTGTACCACGTGCCGTAAATCATCTCCAAGTAGAAAGAGCGTAGGGCTCAGCTTGCTTGTGCCTCCACCTCAGGGATAATGGTCCTAACGGCCTGTTGTTCTTATGTCTGAAAACAGTTGGTTCATATACTTGGCTCATTTTCTCGTTGTTTATGAGTAGATGGCAAGTTCCGTACCATTTGGGTGAAAGGGGAAGTAGCCGCTCATCCTTCTGTGAGTGTACCAGTTATTTGTCACACCAACAGGCCCTTATACATATGTCCACTCTGCCTGGGATGCACTCCTGCCATTCCATCTAGTGGATTCCTGTTCATTCCTGAAGGCTCAGAATAAGTGTCATCTTTCTAAGATGTTTTTTCTCTTTCCTTCCAATTAATTGCTCATTTGCTAAGTTATCAAATCACTTGATATATAACTTCACACTCGTGTATCTATGCATACATATTCCTAAAATTATCTTCCGTCTTTCTCTTCCCAACTAAAACTTATAATTTATCTTCCTTGGCCTAGCACATAGCACAGGGCCTCTGACATATTTGATTGATATTTGTTGAATTTGAATAGTGAGGGAGTAGAGATCCAAACTGGGCCTCTACATGGGATAGAAATGGAAATGTTGGTTTAGGTAGAAAAAGGAGTGTCTGGTGCCTAAGTTTGGAAGCTGTGATCCAGCTAAGGTGCAAGCAGCCACGGAAAGTCAGTTACACTTAGCTTCTAAACATCGTGTATATGGCTCTGAATAATGTTGACAAAGAGATACTTACAACTTTCTGAGGACCACTAACTAGAAAATTGAAATTCACTGTTCTTAATATTTTGTGTAAAAATCGTTTTGGTGGAAAATTTTTGGAAAAGCCCTTGAGTTAATTGTTTTGTAAAAGATATTTAGGTAAAAAGTTAAATGAATTCGTTTCTTTGTAATTTTAAAGTTGTGGAAAATAAGCACTGCTGGAGTAAAGTGTACTGTAATAAAGCTGTGGAAGTCTTGCTGTAGTGAAAGGGAGACATAGCAAAACTGTGCTGCTCGAGCACACACACAGAGGTGTGAAGCACCTTCCTTCCCACACAAACTTCTGTGTGAAGGAAGGTGCTTTGTGCGAAGTAGTTGTTAATATTCTTGTGTTTTCTGTTACCATACTTGACAGATGCTTTTAACATCTCAAGTTGTTCCTTAGTAAAATTTTACTTGGTTCCATTAGTTAATATGACAGTTAAATGGGTCAGGCTTAAATGTAAGTAGGATGAGATGATATGGTGGTCGTACGTTGTACCGAGAGGGTATGTTAAGTCTTACTGATCGCTCAAGGCTGGCTTTTACAGTTTTTTTTTATTACAATAGCCTGCATTTGAAGTACATCCTTGAAAATCTTTAGAAGACTAGTTTTGCGCTTCACATTTTGTGCTTATGTGAACTGCTTACATTCTTGGGAAAACAGAGAGGAAAACCCTTTTGTTAAAGTGAGAATGGGTAAACAACATCATAGTGGAAAGGACTAATAATAAATTGTTCTTAAATTTTAGGTGAAGAAATCCTTGTATTTATGTAAATTGACCACTATTGAATTTTATTGTGGGTGGTAGTGTTGAGCTGAGAGGCCCAGAGGACAGTAAATTGAGAGACTGGCGAACTTCTGCAACCAAAATGCATTTGTCTGTCTCAGCTGAGGAAAACAGGCAGTTGTGCGTGTAGCCTTCATGTGCAGGGGACTCCGTGGACTGCACATCGCATCCTGGTGCATCTCTAGCTGCTGCGGCCGGGTGCACTCAGCTCGTGCTACCTGCCTGCCCAGCGTACAGCACTGCCGGGCTGTCACTAACTTACTGCCTGGTTCTGTTGTCAATGCTCACCCTTTCCTTCCTCATGAGTTACGCATCACTTCAGCTTTGCCGGAATGTGTGATGGCCATTTTACAGTTAATTACATAAAAATTGTTTTGATGCTTTCATGTATGCTTTTCTCATACTGTAATTAAAATATAATTGTCAGTTGTATAGGTTTAACCAGATGAAAATTTGAATCAGCCAGCGAGTTATTTTCTTTCACTCTCACCACCTACAGCTTTTCAGCTAAACTTAAATAGGTTCTTAGCTGACTTCGGTGAAAATTTTTGTTTCCTTTTATAGACAGAATTTGGAAAGTAAGATTGCCCTAACAAAAAAAAAGGAAGGAAAGAACTAAATTATCTTATGAAAAGGAAACGAATGAGTAGCTTTTGTTTGACAGTAGCATGGCTGTTCGGAGATGCGTATTTCACATTAATTTTTATAACAACTTCATGGAAGCAATCCAGTCTTTTTTTTTCTTTTAAAAAAACACATAAAGGAAAATTTGAGATAGGACATGAGCTGTCATTTATGGTAAGAACAAATTGTTAAAATATGGAATTTCTGCTGAAGGGAAAGAAAAATTGTAAATGATTTGTTTCTTTTATTGGCAAAATTATTCAGAGGAAAAAAAAAAACTGAGGTGCTTTGGCCAGAGGGTGGAAGAAAGTTTAAGTCCGTACCGCTCTTTTGGTGAGCCTAGGTCATATCTACTGAAATTTCAAAAGCACATTCCTTTCACACCAGCAGTTTCATCCCAGTATCTACGTTGAAGACTACTTACTGACACAGGCGCTGACAGGAACCTTCACACACCTTCGCATCACAGCATTGTTTATAATCATGAATAATTAGGGGGGAAAAAAAAAACCTAAATGTCCTTCAAAGGGGAATGGCTAAATAAACTATGGTTTTTCTATTCACAAGTTTGCAGGAATTAAAAATTCTGAGGTAGGACTTCTCTGGTGGCACAGTGGTTAAGAATCCACCTGCCAATGCAGGGGACATGGGTTGGATCCCTGGTCTGGGAAGATCCCACATGCCCCAGAGCAACTAAGCCCACTAGCCACAACTACTGAACCCATGCGCTGCAACTACTAAAGCCCGCGCCTTCTAGGGCCCCGCATGCCGCAACTACTGAGCCCACGTGCTGCAACTACTGAAGCCCATGCGCCTAGAGCCCGTGCTCCGTGACAAGAGAAGCCACCACAACGAAGAATAGCCCCTGCTCGCCTCAACTAGAGAAAGCCCGCCTGCAGCAATGAAGATCCAAGTCAGCCAAAAAATTTAAAAAATAAAAGATAAAAATTATGAGATAAGATATAACACCATCATGGAAAAGACTCTTAAGGCATGTTTAAGTAATTAAAAAAAGTAATAGAACAGTATCAGTTAGAATGTTGCCATTTATATGTCTTTAAAAATCCAGAAAACTAATATTTTTGTATGCATTTAAATATATTTTAAAAATCTGGAAGGTTGGAGTACACCTGAGTGATAACAGAGCTTATTTCTAAATGTAGCTCTGGACTGGGGGAAGGGTCTTCAGTGGAGGGCATTTGCTTTATTTGCATTTTTTACAAAAACAATATTTTTATGTATTCTGTAACTAAAAATTCTTGAGAATTTTTTTACTTGAAAGTGTGTTAATATATTTTACTACTGAGGTTTATTTCTTGAAGTTCTGAAGCTGATGTTTTTATTTAGCTTTGGAAATGCTTATCTGAGCTTAAATTTTTACTTAAAAATATTGGATTTCAGCATATAGATGGACGAAAGTTTACACACATTCACATTATAGTCTATGTAAATAAAGATACCTACTGTGTCTAAATATTAAGAACACAAAGGCTATTTTTAATGAGTCCTCTTCCTTTTTATTGAAAATGTGCTTCTCATCTTCTCTAGTGCTGCTGGGGGTGAAATCTTTGACCAGTGTGTTGCAGACAGAGAAGAAGCCTTTAAGGAAAAAGATGTTCAGAGACTCATGCGGCAGATTTTAGAAGGTGTTCGCTTTTTACACGCTCATGACGTAGTTCATCTTGATTTGAAGGTAAGAGCTGAATTACTTTACAGTTTTGAGGTTGCTGGAGAATGACACTCTAGATGCGAGATATCTCACAGTGGTTTCCTCCAATATTTGTCAGGTTTGTGTGTTTTATTGGGTAACAAGGATATAAGAATTGAGTCATAACTTGTATCCTCTAGCCAGTTTTATCAGGGAGAGAATGCACATGTGCATACATAGAAAGATAAATAATAATACATTGCCCCGGAAATGGAGCTTCGAGGGTATTGCTGTGGTAGGTGAAGGCTTCCTGGTGGAGACAGGGCTTGAGCTAGACCTTTCCAAAAAGTTAGGATTTAGATAGGTAGAGAAGAATAGGAGAAAGTTAACTCAAAAGAGTTAGGAATACTTGTGATGTGTTTGGACAAAAATAAATGGAAAAGTTCCTCTGGAATTGAAAGATGACGTAGGAGATATTGAAAGTTGAGAAAAGGCCAGATTCCTGGGGTTCACATGTCACGGAGTGATAGGTGATTTTTGAGCAGAAATATTTGAAAAGCAGTGTTGTGGAAAATTAGGCAGGCAGCAATAAATAAAATAAATTAGGGAATGAAAGCAATCAGAGGCAGGTAGATTTTTAATTTGAAATTGTCAAAGAAGGAAGGGGAGGAAGGAGGAGAGAAAATACAAAGGGTGGTATCAGTCACCATCCTTTCAAGTGACGCGGACGCCAGCTGAAAGCAGGGTAATCGAAAGAGGAACCTTCATTGGCTAAAACGTCCAGGGTAATTCTGGCTGCAGTTACAGCACTATTCATTCATCCAGGTATTGCCAGCACTTGGTTTTTCTTCAGTTCTCAGCTCTACCTCCTCCAAATGGCAATAAAATGGTGGTGAGTTAGATGCAACCGTTTTTTACCCTCACAACTGCCCTGAGACTCAGCAGGAAAGAGCTGCTCTCAGGTCACTGGCTCATTCAGAAGTCCTGAGACCCACTCAAACCAGCTTAGATCAACCCAGAAAGAATTGGTGCACTGGTCCAGGGTGCAGGGCTTTGACGGCCAGGCCAGTGCCGTCGGTGTCATATGCACCCACCTAGAGGGGTCAAGCCCTGCTCCCAGCCCAGCGTTGATGTGGACTGAGAGTGGGGAAGGGATGGGTTCTCAGACCAGTTGCATTTCTCAAAGACTAGAGAATGGGCGCTCAGGGGACAAACAGTAAATGTCCACCGCAGGTATTCAGAGCATATTCCTTCAGGCAGCTGAGGAGAAAAGCGTCTAAGACCCCTGTTGGTTTTCCCATGGTTGCTTCCCTGTCAAGTCCAGGTGGGGCTTTGTGGAAGTGAGACAGTCCTCTAGCACAGAGCACACCCCAGGGACTCCGGCGTCTTATCAGCCTTGTCAGCCAGAGGGGACGGGGTGAGGAAGGAGGGTAACCTGACAGGGCCGAACCCCGGACCCAAAACCACTTTCCTCTCCTGAGCTTCTGTGGCCTCGTCTCACTCACCTGCCCATCCACCCTGACCCCTGCTGTCGTAAGCTTCCAGCAGAAAGGAGATGCTTTCGGCAGTCAGGGTCACCTGAGAGGCTTGTTAAAACAAATTGCTGGGCCCCAGCAAGTTTCACATTCAGGGCAGGGCCAGGTGATGCCAGTCCTGCGGATGCAGGTGCCACTCAGCTGCTGCTGGATGGCACACTCTGTGACACCTTATACACACCATACTGTACACGTACCGTACTGTACACGTACCGTGCTGTATACATACCGTGCTGTGTACATGGCAGTGTTTAATCCCTTTTGCACGAAGGAACGCTCTCAAGGAGGAGTGTGCAGTGTATATAACCAGGAAGTGACTCCATAAGTAAACTTGATCAAATTCCATTTGAAATTAGGTGGAAAGGTAATAGGTTATCCTTCAAATGCTAGTTTCCTACAGAAAAATACAGGGGAAAGGAAATTATATGGAAACCTTCTTGTTCTTTTCTGCAAGATGCCAATATTTCATTTTGTTAACAGTTCTTTTTTTCTCCGGGACACTGATTTCTTAGTGTAGTGTCTAAAGTGGGCGGTTACAGCACGGTGCCATTTTTTGAAGGCAGGTGTGGACATGTGTGCGCCCACGAGTAGTCCCAGGAGGCTGATGCTGCAGTGGCCTTAGGGATCACCTAGGTGAAACCCTCAGAGCATGCGCAAGGGAGCTGGGGCTTTGTTTTGTCCCTTTAGCGCATCGTATGCATTAGAAATTCAAAGATCCTGGGTGCGGGACACAGCCACCGTGCTTCGCTCAGGAACACTTGCCAGGAAGAGATGGTCTCTGCAGTCCAGACTTCAGTGGACTCAGACTTTAAGAAGCCTCAGTTAGGGCTTCCCTGGTGGCGCAGTGGTTGAGAGCCCACCTGCCGATGCAGGGGACACGGGTTTGTGCCCCGGTCCGGGAAGATTCCACATGCTGCGGAGCGGCTGGGCCCGTGAGCCATGGCCGCTGAGCCTGCGCGTCCGGAGCCTGTGCTCTGCAACAGGAGAGGCCACGGCAGTGAGAGGCCCGCGTACAGCAAAAAAAAAAAAAAAAAAAAAAGAAGCCTCAGTACCAGCCGTGAGGAAAATGTCCCCAAAGTAATATCTGTGCTAAGCCTTCTCTCATGTTTGGTTTTACACACTTAACTTTGTAAAATCATACATTTATTTCTATGACGTTTTGCTAGTTTTATGATGTAAAAACGACCTCCAGGAACAGAACACCAATTTAAATAATATTGCATCTATAGGAAATGAGCTTTCAATTTATGACAGCTCCACCTACGACATTATTCAGAAAAGGAGCTAATTAGGTAGCGAGTCAGACGGGTTGCCAACACCGCGTGTCATGCATCTTTGATGTTACTTGAAAGCAGTCAAGAGTGAATATTAAGTTCTTGAATACCAGGTTCGACTGTGTATTTACACAGTGAAATTATATCCCTGTCTCCCTAATACACTCAGCATAAATCGTATCCTTTCTCCCCAGGGCACTCGGTGTAGAATTCTTTCCAGCTTTAACAGGGGCTTTGATGATGGGCCTTTGATGTTGGAAACAGGACTTTCCATGTTTCCTAGACCCAGAAGAGCTAGAGGACAAGGTGGCCTGGAAGGTTCTCAGCCTGTCTTCTGCCCTCACGCTCTGCACACGTGCAGTCAGACTTGTTTCTCAGTGAACTCTGGAGGGGAAAGGTTGGAGATGGGGTTGGAAGGGCAGCAGTGCAGACGGGAATGATTTCTATCAAAAGGTCACTTCCAGGTTGACTTCCATGTCCCCCGTGAGTCTGGACAAAGAGAGTCTACTGTCCTGCATCTTTTAACAGCCGTCTGCCCAGTGACGATTTGTTTATAATGCTGACTCTCAGTCTCTATCAGAGCTTGAACGACGAAGCTATAGAGCTAAATGTGTTTTCTTACGCTTTAGTTCTGTGAAAAGTGATAACCCCGGCATATATGGGAGCTTTGAGCCAGTAGACCATTTATTCCCCCTTATGGTGAAAATGGGCAATTCTCATCGCAGAGACAGAAGTTAGTTAGAATAACTATTATAGTTGCCTCTTTGAAAAGTGGCAATTGACAGAACGGGATATACACTGCTCACTCCGGTCAGACCCCGAACGGTCAGTTTGCCAAAAGACTGATTCGCTGAAGACTCTCAGCCAGATGCAGGCAGGCCTCGGAGATGTGGCAGGTTTGCTTCCAGACACCACAGTAGAGTGAATATCGCAATACAGCGAGTCACACCATCTTTCCCAGTGCCAAGGTCACTGATCACAGGTCAGCACAACAAATATAACGAAAAAGCCTGAAATACTGTGAGGATTACCAAAATGTGACACAGAGACACAAAGTGAGCAAATCCTGTTTGAAAAACGGCGCCAAGGCTTGCCCGACACAGGGTTGCCTCAGACCTTCAAGTGGTAAAAAACGAAATAGCTGCGAAATGCAGTAAAACAAAGTGCAGTAAAACGAGGCAGGCCTGTATCTTCAGCTGAACATGGGAAGTTCTTTGAGGAGTGGCAGGTGCAGATGTTGGGGTGTTCATGCATCTACGAAAACTGAAGACCCTGAAGTGTGTGTGATTAAGGGAGAGCCCATTCCTTTGCACATAAATCATGGCAGGACTGACAAGTCTCAGTAACAGCAACTCTGCCAGAGTCAGGACAAGCTTAAGGCTCAAAACCATCTCGGTAATTTGCTGAGCTAGTCACGGGCGTAATGGCCTGCTTTTACATCAGTCAAGGGGAAGACTGACCAAAAGGGGCACAAAAAAATCCAAGGCTGTTTGTGTTCAGATGGTCTTGTACTGGTCAGATCTTCCAGCAGTTCTGTACTAGGTATTCAGTCATTAAACCCGTCCACCCTGTGATATGTATAATGGGAAGTAGAGGAGCAGACTAGGAATTAGAAGCTGGAACTTTCCCATCTGAGATTAAGTTGATCACTGATAGTTTAAGCATCAATGTTTTACTTGAAAGAGGGGTAACATGTAACATTTCTAAACAGTTTCCCAAATTTATTTAGACAGGATTATTAACCTATTTCTATACTCTGACCTGGGTTTTAGTGCATAAAAAGTCAATTTACTTGAACTTTCGTGGGCTGATAAAATGTTCCTTAAAATGCTGTCCATGGTACCTTAAGCCTTATTGAACAGATTAGCCTCAAGTCTACAATGATCTCATCCAGTGGTGATTGCTCAGTAAATGGTAGATTATGTAGAGAAGTGAAGCTACCCAGATAAATAAAAGGATTCCCCCAGGAAGCTGAGAAATAAGATTTTAGGAGCACTCCTCTACTCCCAGTTGTCTGTTTGGGAACAGTTTGTATGTTTCCCATTTATTCCACTCTCATTACCTCTCTGTGGACCTTGTATGTTTCTCTTTTTACCACTTGGGATGCATGCATCTTAAATGGAATTAAGTACTGTGAGCCGCAGCCTCTGTCATGAACTGGATTCCACAGAGAGGAGGTCTAACTAAGCTGTAAATGTAAAGGTACTTATCTTTGTTTTTAGCACATGTTTTCAGA